AGTCCAAAAAAGCATCCTCAGCATATCAATAACCTCTCTTTCTTACTCTCTATCTCTCTCTCTGTCTCTCTCTGTCTCTCTCTCTGAAAATCTATATCACACACATAGATCAAGAATAAGACGATCAAATGAACAGCAACAACTGTGTGGAAATGGGTGGTAGTGAAGAAGATGATCAAATATGCATGATGGAAGATCTTAGAAGAGGCCCATGGACTGTTGAAGAAGATTTCACTCTCATCAATTACATCGCCCATCACGGCGAAGGCCGCTGGAATTCTCTTGCTCGTTGTGCCGGTATGTCTTGTAATATATCTTATCTTTTCAGGCGACACCACCACCCATGCATAATGGATTCGGATCAACTTGATTATACAAGTTGTTTCTGATTAATGGGTTTTCATTTTGTTTTGTTTTTGTTCTAAAAAAAGTGAATGAAATTGACTGGTTCATAAATTTTTAGAAAGAGAATGATGGAGACAAGTGCTTATTTAGGGTATTACGAACGTCTATAAACTTTACCAAAAACTCTCGCTCTTTCTTTTTTCAATAAAAATAATCTTTTTAATTTCCTACATTCTTTTTTTTACTAAATTTATCAAATTTCAAATGAAATCGACAGGGCTTAAAAGAACCGGAAAGAGTTGCCGATTGAGGTGGTTGAATTATTTACGACCTGATGTACGTCGTGGGAATATTACTCTTGAAGAACAACTCTTAATTCTTGAACTTCATTCTCGTTGGGGCAATCGGTATGTAAAATTTTTCATTTGTTACACGTTATGAGGTCCATATAATATTTGTTATAATTAGTTTTAATTATGTCTGTTGTTATACAGCTGGTCAAAAATAGCACAACATTTACCGGGAAGAACGGATAATGAGATCAAGAATTATTGGAGAACGAGAGTACAAAAGCATGCAAAACAATTGAAATGTGATGTTAACAGCAAACAATTTAAGGACACGATGCGGTATCTTTGGATGCCAAGACTCGTAGAGCGAATTCAGGCAGCAGCCACGACACCTGCCACCACAGGTGGTTCCTCCTCCTCCACCACCACCACCACCTCTACCACAACCACCACCAACTCCTACCCACTCAACCAAACTAACATGGATTGTATTGTTACAAGCCAGTTAGTAGTTCCCCATGGCAATAACAATACTGGAAACACTTGTACAAAGTATGCCAATACCCAAATGATCACCCCTAGCTACACACCGGAAAATTCAAGCACCACAGCAGTCTCACCTGTTTCCGACTTGACCGATTGTTATTATCCAGCCAACCAAAGCCAAAACCATGAAATGTTTCAACACAATAACCCGATTAATGGTGGATTCACAGACGCCCTGATTAGCCCGGCGGGTTACTTCAATCAAGGGATGGATTTCCAAGCTACGGTAGAGCAAAACAACCAATGGACGGACGGCGGTAACGGTGGTGATGACTTCTCTGACAATTTGTGGAATGTTGAGGATATCTGGTTTTTAAAACAGCAATTCAACATGTGAAAAAATTACTAAATTTATGTATACATTATTGGTTTAGAAAGTTTACAAGAATTTGTGAGATACACGTTTCTAGTTTGTGATCAAACAGAACAGCATGTTTTCTTTTCTTTTTTTGTTTCTTGATTTTTGGGTGGGTATAGAATTGTAAGTGGTCACTTTACATCATTTGTTCATAAAGAAATTTATTCAACGTTTTTTTATTTAAATTTGTTATAACAATTAACATTATTTCAGTAAACGTATTACTCGTTATTTTGGTAGGAGTTTTGAAAAATTTCAATACTTTTCATTCTAATTATTGTTTATATTAGGTAGGAAGAAGTCCTAGCGGGTTGGAGGAGGAGAGGGATGGCCGGGATGAGAGCAAGAGAGAAAGAGAGGGGTACCGGCTGGAGAGACAACTCAAAGAAGAAATTTGGGGAAGATGGGTTTGGCGGATTTGACACCCTCCACCTAGAGTTTAGCGGTTTTGGCCGGAGGAGGGAACGATTCCCTCCTCTCTGAGAGGTGTTTGGGATTGAGTTTGAAACTTCTATTTTCTCACATAACTTGATAAAAACATTTATCTACAACATGAGGGATCTAAAGGCCATAAAGGTGCACAACGGAAGCAACTAAAACATTAACCACATAAACCAGACAATGATCTATATTCTACCAATCAATTGCACCATAAACTAAAGAGAAGAAAACAAAATAAATATATTTTCCGTATTTGATACCTTCATAGATCTTCGACTAGTGCGAAGAGCCCAACGAAGAGTTCCTCTTTTGTATACACAAACAAGGAACAGACCATCAACATTTGACTTCACCCTATGGACGAACACGTTGAACGAAACAAACTGGAAGCGTGGAACGAGTTCTATGCGCCACATAGAACCCTCTACACTTCACATAGGAGGCTGGGATTTAGGGTTTCGAGAATGGATTGGTTCTGCCGAATACTAGGGTTTTTCTGGAGAGAATTCCATCATAACATCCGATCTAGGTCCCCTCTACTAATAGGGAAGAATTCAAACCCCAAAAGGATAAATATCTAGTCACATAATAATTATGATTATCTTTAGTAATCATCTGACTTTCCAATTCATTTATCTAGAACGTTCTATATCACCAGATTTCATTTAATTAATTAAAGACTTAAATAATTAACAAACCAGGTCCTTACAGTTTTCTCGTGTCACCAGTTGCTTATTTTTGTCCTTGCTTGTAACCCAAAATACCCTACTATTAATAATAATATTACCAACTATTATGACTGTTGGAACCATATTCCAACATGCCCCACTTCCACAAGTCACCAACAACATATGGTCTAATATTCACTAGTAATAAATAGACAGTATACAATCCAATGTAACTGCTTGTGATACAAACCTTAGATGAGTGATCAAATATTTCTTCGTTATTGAAGATATATGTTTGAACATGAGACCTGGATAAATGTCAATCTCAAATGCTCAAGATTATGTTTCGCTATAGCGACTTATGTCAACCAAAAAACCTACTTCATTGATCCGTTATCAATTTAGTTTGATCGTGGTCACACATTTTGATGTAAAAAATGAAATCATCTAGGGGCCCAAACATATTGAGTTCAACTATTTAGGGAAAAAAGAAGAAATAAACATCAACTATATAGATTTTGCATATTCGTCATGTCATATCTGTTGGGTTTTGAGCATAAAATTCTTATGTGTTCATCCAACACTAATTGCTTTGGATCTAAGTTTTTCTCTAGTTATACATGTAAATAGAAGTTCCAAAGAAATAACCCTAATAATAGCATACAATTTCAGAAATACAATATGAAATTAGGGTTTGATGAATACCTTTCTTGTTATCTCGTAATAACAAGTAATCCAATGATGATCTTGACTCTCGAAAGCTTGAGTGCCCAAAGTGTTGCACCTCTAATGGAATCACAAACACCAAAAGAAAAAGATGAGTGAGAGAGAGGGAAAAATTTCGGCTAGGGTTTCCCTTGGATGCAGTGGCCGAATTCTTGAGGTCTAGGGGTCTGTAAATACTTGTGGCTGCTAGGGTTTCCAAGTGAAACCCTAATTATTGACTTAGGCTCCAAGCAGTCCATGAAACCACCTTCTAGAAGGCCTTGGACGATTTCTATAGGCCTCCCATAGATTTCGTCCAACCCTTTACAAGGGAGTCCAACAGCCCATTTTGCAACTATCAATGATTTGCAAACCAGTCCCCTTACTTTTAATCAGTTCCTTTAATCCCAAAATTAATAACAAATTAACTTATGATTAAATACTAATTAAATAATATGATTTCTAATTAATATATTATTCTTATAATATTTTAATAAATCATTAAATAATCTCTCTCTCCAAAGTCATCCTGTCAAGTTGCTATGGTGAAGGCAACCCAAAAGGACCATGCTACTATCAGCTCAAGTACATACCAATTATAGTTATGGGCTTAGACACCTAATCCAACAGTCTCCCACTTGGATAAGTCTAATAACTAAAATTTCAAGTATTACTTCAGAATCAGATTAGCAATCGTAGCTTTCAAAAGCTGTTGTCGAACTCTGACCTAGTCAATGACGCGTCCTTAAGATAAGGGATCATACAAAGACATGGAACATAATCATTCTCAATGTCCAACAGTTTGTTTCCCGATTTCTGATTTGTTTGACAAGGAACTTAATTGAACACATCAATTTAGTCCTGACCAGGCCCGTCACATAAGTCAACACAAAATCATCGAGTGGCCCAAGATATCGCTTTTCCCGTTAGGGAAAAAGGAACAGATAAACTTTGATTATATGCTTGTACTATTCACTCATCAAATCATACACAAGAACACATTTTATAACATCAAGTTACTGATGCGTTTACGCATTATTAATGCACAACCAACTCGTAAACAACAACTCATATATCTCGGTTTAAAGATTATATGATGTTATCGTCTCACAATTACTCGTGATAAATTCCATGAAGTAATTCAAATGAGCATGGGTTTAATCCAATACTCAAATCCTATTTCAGGAGTACTCATGAACGTTGCAGCAAACCTTTGCTATGTCTAAGCACTTAGACAATCTACAAGCCAATTCATGACAGTCTTGCCTCATTACTTCCTTCCAAAGTATGATCGAATGTGGATAATTTGAATAATCCAATTATTCTGGAAGTAAAATATGCAAAAGTGAAACAATAGTAAACAATTGACACAAGATAGTAAACATTACTCATAAATAAATCTCCATTACTTAATCGTCAAATGTCAATTACATTTATCTATTACAAGTTTCTAAACATCTATCTAATCACTAAAACTAATATCATCTTTCAGGCCAATGCTACTCGCATGTTGAACGTGCTTGATCCTACTTAGACCCTTTGTGAGGGGATCCGCATGATTCTCTTCTGACGATACCCTCTTGACCACGAGGAGTCCTTCTTCTACATGATGTCTGATGAAGTGATATTTTATGTCGATATGTCGGGATCTACCATGATCCATTGGTTTCGTGGTTAAGGCAACCGCTCATTCATTATCACAGAAAATTTCCACAGGTTCCTTTATGGCTGGCACAACTCCAAGGTCTCCAATGAAGTTCTTCAACCGTATAGCCTCCTTCGACGCTTCGTTAACATCTATGTACTCTGATTCGCACGTTGAATCAGCCACAGTCTCCTGCTTGGAACTCTTTCAAGTCACTGCTCCTCCATTCAGGGTAAACACCCAGCCCGACTGAGAGTGGAAGTTATCTCTGTCGGTCTAAAAGCTGGTGTCGCTATACCCTGTCACTCTCAATTCATCACTGCCACCAAGTATAAGGACCCAGTCCTTAGTCCTTCGTAGATACTTAAGAATGTTCTTAACAGCTATCCAGTGAGCTTTACCTGAGTTCCCTTGATATCGACTTACCATGCTCAACGCAAAATCCACATCAGGGCGAGTACATGTCATAGCGTACATGATCGAGCCAACGGTGGAATCATATGACACTCGACTCAATTCTGCTATTTCCACATCGGTACTCGGACTCTGAGTCTTACTCAGTTTGGTATTGCTCTGGATAGGTAACTCCCCTTTCTTGGAATTCTCCATGCTAAGACGTTTTAGCACCTTGTCCAAGTAAGTACTTTGACTAAGTCCAATTAGTCTCTTACTCCTATTTCTCAAAATCCTTATCCCCAGCATATAAGCAGCTTCCCCTAGATCCTTCATAGCGAAACACTTCCCAAGCCAGGACTTAACTTCCTGCAAGGTTGGAACATCGTTTCCTATGAGCAGTATGTCATCGACATACAATACTAGAAAACTAACTATACTCCCACTAGCTTTAACATATACACAAGACTCATCCTCACTCTGAGAGAAACCAAATTCTTTGAATTTCTCATCGAAGTAAAGATTCCATCCGCGAGACGCTTGCTTCAATCCATAGATGGATTTCTCAAGCTTGCACACTCCATTCGGGCATTTAGCATCCACAAAACCTTCTGGCTGACACATGTAAACATCTTCAGCCAGCTTCCCATTAAGGAAAGCGGTTTTGACATCCATCTACCACATTTCATAATCATGAAACTCAGCGATAGCTAACATAACCCTAATAGACTTGATCTTGGCCACTGGTGAGAAGGTCTCATCATAGTCAACCCCTGGGGTTTAAGTAAATCCCTTCGCAACCAGTCGTGCCTTGAATGTGTGTACCTTACCGTCCATGTCGGTATTCTTCTTGAAGATCCACTTGCACCCAACTATCTTACGACTTGGTACATTGTCAACCAAGTTCCAAACTTGATTGTCATACATGGACTGGATCTCCCTGTCCATTGCCTCTTTCCATTTTTCGGACTCAGGGCCCTCCATGGTTTCCTTGTATCTATTAGGTTCATCCAAATTTATCAGTGTACTATCACTGATAAATGTATCACCTTCTGTAGTTATATGGAAACCATATAGTAAAGGTGGAATGCTAACTCTACTGAAATGTCTAAGAGGTAATGATTCGTCAACTGGCTCAACAGGAATCTCTTCTTCAGGTTGATCGCTAGTGTTTGAGGTTCCTTCACCGCTTGATTCTTGAATCTCATCAAGATCAATTGTCCTCCCACTGTCCCCTTGGCATATGAGTTCCCTCTCGCGGAAAACTCCTCTCCTTGCTACGAAGTCCACGTTATCACTAGGTCTGTAGAAAAGATATC